GGCTATTCTACCCACATTAGAGATAACATCATCGACCTATCAAGAATACTTGTGTAAGTAAAGTATTACATAAATATGTCTATAAAAGTCAATTAAAAGCTTAATAGTTCAACATTTATCCTTTTGTGCTTTGTTTACCAAGAACATTACCCTATGGACAAATTTATAATTCTTACAATCACGTATGTTTCAAGTACTGTGTTGATATTGGATTATTAGAGATTAAAAGTTGGCTTCATCCCTAATCTCCCTTTAACGTTAATTCTCTATTAATACTTTAGAAGGCTTCTTTGTAAAAGGTTATCATGTCATACTAAATGTTAGAAAATAGTTTATAAAATTGATTTATATCAAATTTTGAACAAATATTTTGATGGGCCCCACTACTTGAATTTGGCAAAAAATGGGTCAATCATATTATTCTCGTGGAGTAGATGAATTTGGTATATTTGAAAGTTGAAAACTATTTCAGGATGAATAAGAAATTAGTAAATGAAGTGAGGTTGGAAAAACATGATTTTTGAAATAAAAGAAATCAGATTTTAGATATAAGATACCGGCGAGCGGCAATCAACATGTGAAACCTTTCGTGAAACAAGGTGATTATTAGATTGTCTCTTCGATTGCTACCCATTAACCGCTATAAAATGAACCCCTATGTGTTGGTTTCATCCACTCCTATTTTATGCAATCAAAGCATATGATATAACATCATTCTCCTGTAAAAATTCTGCATCAAAATCTTGATTCTTTTCATTTTAAAAGGAGTACAAAACCTCATTCGGTTCGGTGTTTCTTGTGTTTTGAAGTGGTGCAAACACAAGAATTCAATCGTTGTATCTTGAAAGACGATTGCCATAATCTTTAGACACCTGTGCGGGGCAAAATCATCTTAAGAACAAAGAGTTTGATTCTTACCTCAACCAAATTCATATAAGTTGTCATATAAGTTGCTTTCCTCCTCTCTTTTTTTTTTTTTTTTTGGGTTTTATGTTCTTATAATTTTCGTTTTAATTCCAAGTTATGTTTGAATTAATTTCTTCTTACAGGAATAATAATCGTTCTCTTTTAAATTAATTTTTAATCGACCTTTCATATCCAATTTCAATAAGTTGAAATTTTGTTCAATTTTATTGAAGAAAATGTACATTATTAAATATAATAATATGCACGTTATTATTTTTACCGACACTTAATCCATTTATAAGTTGCTATTATAGCAATTGAATCATTATGTCAATTAAATTATTCAGAGTTTTAAAGAAACTACTGATACATTTAATTCTCTGATAGAGAGAATAAGACATCATCATTCTCTTTTAAATTAATTTTTAATCAACCAGTATTATTAATCAAATTACTTTTTGCATTTGATTTCCTTTTCAAATTTCCAACTTAGTATTTTATTTGGTGCTCGAAGATCAACTAAGTTACAATATGTCTTATGGCTGCTGCTTTTCCAATATTAATCCTTTGAAGAAGACAGTACATTCCTCCTAAGGAACAAGTTAGTAAAAATGTTTTCGGTTTCCAAGTTATATATAGTAACATAAACAATGAAGCATAATATAAATTATTAAAAAGGTCATAAGATAACAGACGTTACTATTTCAACTTACTTTTCATGCTTATATATATATATATATATTTTTTTTTTTTTGACACAAATTGGTTGGAATTTTGAGAAAATCTTTTTTTCTTCTTTTCAAGTGTTTTTATTGAGAAAATATTATTTCCTTGATTTTAAGTGATTTTTTATTAAAAAAAAATTATCTTTATGGTATTTTTAGGGTTTGGCATGCATCTTTATAAATATTAGACTCTTTTCACAAATTTTAATGTTACCAAAATATAGAATAATTGTGTGGGTACATTTATCGTATTTGTTTTCTCCATATTAGTCAATTGAATAAAATACTATGTTTCTCTGCCAATTAATTATTTATCTTTTATCTTGTTGTTTGTTTATGATCGTATGCCTCATATGAATTCATATATATTACACTGGTCCGTTTTTATTTTCCAACAAATGGTATCGGAGCTATTGGTTGCAGTTTTGTTTTAGATTTTTGTTATTGATAGCAATCATGAAGTATGAAATTTTGCTCTTAAATCGCAATACAAGATTCTCACTCAAATGGATTTGAATGATGGGTTGTTGAGATTTGACAAAATGCCTACAACTTGGACGACGAAAAAGAAACAACGAAATGATCGGAAGGCACTTTCACAGATCCATTTTCATCTCTCCAACAGTATTCTTTAGGACATTTTGGAGAAGAAAACGACAGCTGTGTTGTGATTGAAATTGGAGTAATTGTGTATGATCAAAAGTCTGACGAGCACATTCGAAATAGATGTTGTATTCTCATCACATAGCAGAAGGCGGATCTTTTGAAAATCATCTAGCAGTGTTCAAGAAAATCGTCGCTAATTTGGAGACTTTAAAGGTAAAGCATGATGAAAAAGATTTAGCTTAATCTTTTGTATTCAATGCTTGCTTCGTTTAGAGATACAATCTTGTATAGTCATGATACTCTTATTATTGAAAATGCGTATAATGACTTGTTTTCAAAAGAGAAGATGAAGTATCTGGTTAAATCTGAGTCCAAAGATGGTGAAGTTTTTGTTGTTCATGGTAATCGAAGAACGGATAAATCGATGTCAAATTTCAGTAATCAGGTTTGATATTATTATAAGAAAAAAATGACAATCTAAGAGAGATTACGACAAATTGCAAAATAAAGTTAATTTGACTACAAATTATAGGAAGCAATCAAATACTTCAGACAAGATCAACATAACCAAAAACTATTTAAGTGATGGAGATGTGTTTAATGATTTCTGACATGGAATCCAAACCTGACGATGAGTGAATTTTGGATATGGTTTGTGTGTGTCATATGCATCTCAATCGAGATTTGTTTGAAATATATGAAATAGTGACGCAGGATATCATTGTCATGGGTAACAATGAACCTCATTGGATAGCTGGTATTGGTAGAGTTAGATAAAAACTAGTGGTTGAAACATGTAGAACACTTGATCATATTCGACATATTCTAAACTTGAAGAAGAATCTCATTTTGTTAAGTACTCTTGATTCAAAAGGTACTTGTTCTTTGGATGAGGTGGGGTTTTGAGGGTTCGAAAAGGTGTTCGTGTTGTATAGGATGGATGGAAGAGATCCTAGTTACACATCTTGCAAGGTCGGGTAAAATTTGTGAAGAAAAGTCCACACAGATTTAGTATTGTGGTAAAGATTCAGTTTAATATTGAACCTCTGGGATTTGGTTCGGGTCTATATTGAAGAATACTACTCAGTTGAGTTTGGAAGATATGAGTAATTTCGATTTCCACCATTACCTACAGTTCTACCATATTTAACCGTTAGTGATAGATCCATTGGAGATAGGTACTTAGATGTTGATTTGGTTGCACATAATTCTAGTATTTTTGAAGGTGTTGAGACTAGATATAGCCTTCTATGAAAGCGTTGGAAGTTGATTCTACTACAAGGTGTGTTTCAACAATGTTTGGCAATTTTTAATTCTTTTTGAATTTTGGAGAACTCCGTTTTTGGGTCCATGTATTCATGTTGAGTGTTGTGGAAGAGGATGTGTATTTGTTTTGGAAAAAGTTTGGTTCTTGTTAAAGCATTTGGATTTTTCGTTGCAGTCAAAATTATTTTTTCAAGTAAAGAAATTTTGAAGTTTCGTTTGTTGCATCGGAATTTGTATCAAGTAGAGATTGTTAGGATTTTTTACCCAAATCAGGTTGAATTTTTAAGAAAATATTTTTTTTTCTTCTTTCCATGTGTTTTTATTAAAAAAATATTGTTGCCTTTATTCCACATGATTTTTTATCTTATTTCCTTCTTTATGGTATTTCTAGAATTTGGCATGCACCTCTATAAATACTAGACTCATTTTACAAATTTGTATTACTGAAAAATAGAATAATTGCGTAGGTATAGTTATTATATTTATTTTCTCCATATTAATCAATTGAATAAAATACAATTTTTGTTCCTTTTATTTTGTTGTTTGTTTGCTATCAAATAACTCATATCATGTCATATATATTACTTCAATCCATTTTATTTCTGAACATATATTTTTATCAATAAACATAAAAGAAACAACAGAAAGAAAAAAAAAATTTGTTATCCCAAAAGCTTATTCTACGTATCAATGAACATATATAACATTAAATACTCCTATCTTAGTGTATATATGAACATGAAGAACAATATTTAAAATTTTACCAATTGTTATCTGTATAGTTATGTGATCATGCCAATTTAACATAAATAAGAATATTATAAAAATAATTCAGGAAACAATGTTTTTCATATAATTCATAATAGAATCACAAAGTATAACATGAATCACTTCCAATGAACCCTCCTACAATTGGCAATACAAACTAAATCTTGGATTTCTAGAACTTTATGATTTTTGCATATTAAATTATAACAACAAAGAAAACAGATCTTCTTTGTCCACTGTCTACAAAAACCGTAAGCCGGAAATTGCAAAGCAATTGTACAAGAACAAATTTCTCTCCCTTGCCTTCACTTTATTGTACATTATAATGATAGAATTTGTAAATCATTTTTAAATAGGTGGTATCATGTAGGGAGCACATGTTCTTCTTTTTACAAATAGCATTCCGAAGCATTTATTAAATGAAACATTAAATTTCATTATATATTCTATCTTCCATATTATTTAATGCATCAATAATGGATAAGACCAAATTAAAGAATTCATTAACTAACTTCACCAAACTACTTCAGTTAAAATTTCATCTAAAGTTTCTTTAATAAATTACATGAGCCACATAAATTCTTACGTTAACAATTAAGAAGCCGTTTACAGATGAAGGATTAAAATCCTCCTCGCAGATCACTTCAATAATTATTGACTTGTAGCATTATATAACCCCTTTTTCGTTTCCTAAATTCTCATCAATCAAGAGTTACGACATATCTTTTACTCGGAGATTGAGATGACTTCCAAATTTGTTCTCTTGGTTCTTCTTGGTATTCTTGTTTGCACCACCACTGCAAGAAAGCTTGCAAGCTTAGAGGGTCCTCTTAGTGATGAGAAAACATTCTCCTTCGATAATTCGATATTAGGAGGTGGAGGTGGTTTAGGGGGTGGCATTGGTGGAGGTGGTGGCTTTGGAGGGGGTGCAGGAGGTGGACTTGGAGGTATCAGTGGAGGTATTGGTGGAGGTGGAGGAGGAGGAATAGGGATTGGCTCTGGAGGTATTGGAGGAGGATTTGGTGGTGGAATTGGAGGTAGCATTGGAGGATTAGGAGGAAGTGTTGGTGGCGGAATCGGAGGAGGAGGTGGATTTGGTGGTGGACTCCCTTGAGTAAATAGAGAAGTTTTTAGTCCCATCCCCATCTTTCATTCACATTCCACAATATTGATCATTTTCATGGCTCAAATAGAAAAAACGTCTAGAGCCATGAGTTAAACAACTCAACTGCATTTGTCTCATTTGTACTCAAAATTATTCAAACAAATTAAAGTAAACTTCAGTTGGTTAATTTATAATTTACTTCCCTTTTCTCACGCTTTATTACTTCCATGCAAATGATCTGTTCATATTCTAACGTTAATTTTGGTTTGACGTTCTTTATAGTGTGCTGACAAATTTAATTTGTTCTTATTCAAACAAATGTAATGCATTAGTCCCTAAATCTTTTATTTATGCTGAACATGGTTACTTATTGAGCAACTTTCCAGATGAAATAACCACCGTAACAATGGCTGAATTTTTTACCTACTAATTACAAATTTACCAGCGTGGATGCTTGTGTGTATGACCATCTTGATATTGGCTAAGATGGAGTCGCAAAAGTTATGCTAAAGAGCTACCAGAGATTTGTTTTAAATAAAAGACTCGACTCCAAGTACATATTCTCCACAAATATATATTGAGATTTTATGTCGCAAAGCTATATCAATATGTATTCATACTAGTTTGGTTACATTGGAAACACATCAAAGCATGAGAGTGAAACTACAATAAAAATTACTTTTTAGTTCATTAATTTTATCATCTTTTTAAGTATTTACTTTTTCGCATTACATATTATAGTTTGTATGTTTGATAGGAAAATTTTACATGGAAAATGGCCTTTTTCTTCCAAAATTTCAATTTTTGGAGTGTTAGATTGCCATTTTTTTCCATAGAAAATATTTTTCAACCATTGAAAATATGTCTAATTTTTCTTTTTTCTTTTTTTTTTTTATGAAAACATTTTCTTTGGGGGATGTAGATTTTTGCTTTTTCCTCAAAATAAGGAAAATATTTTTCATACCAATCAAACTCCTCTGTTTGATTTAGATAAAAATTAAAGATTTTTAGTAGATTTTGATAAAAGTCGTTGCAATTATGGTCGAAAAATTGTTAAGCTCGTAAAATGTGTTGCTAAAATTAATTATTAATTTTAACTTAAGATTTGAATGAACTTTTGCAGCGAACCAAATATGGGCTTAATTTGCTTTTCGGCACCGCCATGCATTAAAAAATTATGAATTATGCAGAAAGTTTTTATTTTTTTGATTTGTTTAATGATGTTTTCTCACTTTTCTTTATTAGATGGATAAGTAATTCAAATTAATGAAAGAGAAGCGTACGTATCATTATATTTACACCACACCTCTCACATTTTCGTTACAATGAACTTTTCCAATTTTTACTCATTTTCGCACTTATGTCATCAAAATTTACTCATCAATTTTTTATCATCAACGTTCTATTAATTTGTAGGTCTTATTTTTATGATGATTTCCTTTCCAAAAAAAAAAAAAAAAA